AACTATATTGATATAACAACACAGCGAGGTTCTGTGTTTTTTTAATGCAGAGAAATAATATTACATGTCTGGACTCAAACTGAAATATTAAAGAGTATTAGATTTTCACTAAAAGGAAACGAGTTACGAGAGAATCTGCATACCATCAGCTGAAAAACATGATGCACTAATTGTTTTTATTGATTTTGGTGAAGGGATGTCTTGCAGTTTTAGTAACCGAGATGTTCATACGTTATGTGATTCAATTTTCATAGAGTGAAATCACGAAATGATTATTTGTTCATTTACAATGAAAATTAAAAGTGAACCAATTGTTTTTGAGTATTATAATTGAGCAAGGTAGTCGTAATTCATTACTAGCTTTGTGTTAACTATATTTAGTTTTAATGTAATACAATTTTGTATGGACTACACGAATAATAAATATATAATTCTGGATCTATTTGTGATGTCAGACGTAATTTCACTTATTTATTGAGACGATGTTTAACTTGTATTGGAAAGAAGGCTGGAGTTCTGAACAGTCAGGTTACGATACTTCAAGGTTAAAACACTAGTCGTTATTTGTAAAGTAATTGACCATATTTCAATTACCAATGTGTCCTCTTGCAGTTTCGCTTCACTCTCATTCCCATTGAACCAGGGTTCTGTCTCTATTAAAACTCCGTGCTGGACAAATTCACGTGTATGTGAGAAGGCTGAATTTACTGACAATGTGGAGTCTGTCTAAGGTAGGTAGTTGTGCGTGCATTGTTCTATAGGAAGCTTTATGGATTATATATTAATTAGTGCTTGTAACAAACATGTCCTGACGTCCTAGTGGCAAATAAATTTGCTATGACACAGCACTTCCATATCTGGAAGTACTTTTTTTGGGGGGGGGGTCGTGAAGTCTTAAACTTAGACTGCTAGTTGAACTTCTGACCTATCACACGTTAAGTTGATTCGGAGTTTTGAATTCTGACTTGTTAATGGCGCCATGAATTTTTCAGTTGCTTAATAGTCTGCTACATTTATGAGAATACTATGGTGAATTGCCCATCAGACTTAACGTATCAGAAATGTTTCGTCCACATGAAGTAACATAAAGGGTGACTCATTTCTTAAGTGTCTACCTTTCCAACTGCTGGTGATTTGATGTACCTGTCATGTATTACAGGAGTAACAGTAAATCAGATTTTGATTCCAGAAATAGATCCGGTAACACCAGCATCACACAAAGGCATTCTGTTGCTCAAGTCCAGATAGTAGCAAGAGTTGTAGTGAGTGTAAATAACTACAGCTTGATGTAACTTGTATGTATTTCATTATAACAATTTCGCGTCTTTCATTTATTTGTATTATATTTAGTTAACGCCGTAGTTTCGTGTTGTTCCACTAGTCTATTGTATTATGTTTAAATTTTGTATTCAGTTGCGTTCGTTTTTAAATAGTCGGCTGTGTCCTTATTGTTCATAATGTACTGTTGTTGTTTCAGCGCAAAGACACACAATGGGCTCTTTGCACACTGTCTATCGAAGGGAATCGAACATCGGATTTTAACATTGTCTGTAAATTTACCACTGACCCACGAGGGGACTATATTGAACTTCATTATTATTTCGTATTATATTTACGTTTACCAAGAGTTGTATTAATATTATCAAATTATGATTTTGATTCACTGAATTTTGATTTCATTTTTGAGTTCAATGTATTTTTATTTCATTTAGTTATTTTGTGTCTTTACTTTTCATTTCCTGGACGCTTGAGTTAATGTGTTGAACCTTTTTTTTTGTCTTTATATAAGTGGTTATGGCATTTTGCATATCACCAAAGAAAAACAGTTACAGTATTTTAAGACTTGTATTTAACTTCTGCCACACATATACATCAGTATGGATAAAGATTTTGTTTGCTCTCTTTGCTTCCGTTTTGATTTATTGCTTGCTTAACAATCTTGAAACTGTGTTTTGCGGATTATTTAAGACTTTTCTCTCGGACATCAGTCTATTTGAACATCACACAACCTTCTATATTATTAAAAGTAGCTTAACAAAACCAAATCTAGTCCAACCTCTTTCACTCTATTCCTTTAACTAATTTGCTGAAACTGCAGGAAGAAGTCGTTTCAGTTTGGTTTGTTCTGAATTTCGCGCAAAGCTATTCGAGGGCTATCTATCATAGTCATCCCTAATTTAGCAGTGATAAACTAGAGGGAAGGCGGCTAGTCAACATCACCCATAGACAGCTCTTGGGCTACTCTTTTACAATGAATAGTTGGGTTGACCGTCACATTATAACGCTCCCACTGCTGAAAGGGCGAGCACGTTCGGTGACTGGGATTCGAAACCGCAAATTTCAAGTCAAGTGTTTAATCATATACAGCAGATCTAAAAGGATTATTTGTTAAAATGCATGAGCCTGGCACCAAGAGTAATATTTTGTCGTACTTCGCGCTCCTATTCAATTTCTTCCAAGTGTGCAAAGTTTGATTGACATGAAACGAAACTTAATTTTATTCTTGTTGAGGATTTAATTCAGTTAACGTCGGGCTGTGACTTAGACAACTTATGTTAAAATTGTCTCCGATGAAGAGAAACTTGCTTTATTCTATAAACTGACAAAAGAAAGCATGTAAAATAAATGCTAAAACTTGACAAAAATTTTAATTTCCAATGCTTCCTAAACTTAGAAACCATGCTTAAAATCTAAAACAAAATTCAAACAACTAATTGAGTTTGTGTGGTACAGAAGCAAAATAACAATTTAACCTTCACTTAGTGATATTCTCGATCAATTCGAAATGTTTTAATACATATTTTGATATCTAAAACATTTAACCCATTCACTACGACTGGTTTTCTTCATCGAGATTCGTTCCATGTTTTGGACAAGGTTCAGCATTGACCTCTTCCTCTCAGAAACTTATTTTATTTACACTGTTACTGAATCCTAGGTAATAACCCCTGTTACGTTGTTGCATTACTCACAGTATGTTAAATTTTGTACACTGTCCACAGTTTTTGATTAACATACTATGTCCAATTCCTGGAGTAAAATTAACTCGTATATTTTCACTAGCTTCACTTATGCATAATCGCACTATTAGTCTGTGTTTGCAATACAGTTCCATTTAGAAGTCATATATAAACACACATAATCCTATTTTTACATGTAAAATATTTTCGTGTAGTATTCAGTTAGCCTTACACTGTTTGGCCTGAAAGTGTCTTATTTATGATGTCTAGAGGGGAGAGGTACTAAGGCTTGGTTAATCACGTATTATGCAACTCTCTACTTTGCTCATCAGTTCATTTTTATTAACGTTTTTCTTATAATATTGAAGTGAGTTATCAAGGGGTCTGTCCGAGAGAGATGGCATGTTTGAATAGTTATGTAGAAATACTGAGTTTGTTAAAATATAGTTTTGTATTTGTTGATGTGTGTTTTAGATACATTGATCCATCTTATAAAGCCATATTCTACGAGTGAACTTATTTATGTATGTTCTATAAATTTTTAATATGTTTCTGGTGAAGCTCTATGATCGATGTCTGTTAGGCTCGTAGGGCAACTCGCTTTTTCTAAATTTTGGTTTTTATGCTATTAATGTGTGGTATCCAGGTTATTTTTTTCTTAAACGTAATCCCTAAGAATTTTGCTACCTGTAAGAGAGTCCCGTCTAGATATAAATGTGGTATTCTTTTGCTTGTTTTGTACGATATTGTAAATAACATGACTTGTGTTTTGTGTGCATTAATTTTAATTCTCCATTTACTGCAGTGCAATACTATTTCGTTTAGTAGTGGTTGTGTATTGTATGTTGCTATTGTTGGTTTTGAGGCACTCTTCCAGATTGCAACACCATCCGCGAACTGTGAGCAAAAAGTGTGGTTTGGGTCTTTGAGAGGTATGTCTCTGACATACATGATAACCAGGGTACGGCTAAGTACTCCTACTTCAGGGACACCTGCCTGCGTAGTGCAGCACTCGGAACCGTGTCTGGTAGTTTCACTGATCGTTGTTTGGTCTAGTGACCTGGGAGGATCAGGTACGCCTTCGACCTCCCTCCTTGGGTGTTGGTTTGGTTCGTGAATGAAGCCCACATTAATTCTTCGGTAGAATTAACTTTTAACACTCTTGTTACGAAAACTAAATAACCACTAAATAAACTAAACAATAACTGTTAAAGTGAACACATTAATTCTAGCTTTCCTGTTTTCTAGAAATTTGGTGAGCCAGCAAATAATACCTCACGGTAGTTTCATTTGGAAAATTCGATATTTTAGTCCGCTGTGCCATACAGTGGCGAATGCTTTCTCAACATCGAGAAAACAAAGGACAGTGCAATCGTTTCGGTTAAATCTATTTAGTATGGTTTCTGTGAATCTTACCAGATGGTCTGTTGTTTGTCTTTTTTTTTTCATGAATTCTTTTTGTATTTCAGGTAATTTTGATATCATTTTGAGATAGACAAAATGTATTTAAATGATGATTTGTTCTAATAGTTTTTCAATACAGCTGGTTAGGCTGATTGGTCTGTAGCTTTGTGGTTTACTTGCTAGCTTTCCTTCTTTCAGAAACATTAACATACACGCTAGCTTCCAATGCAGTTGTTATGTAACCTGATTGTAGGGATACATTAAATATAACAACTAGATGGTCGTACAATCTTAGTGTGCCTTTTTTGATAAGGATATATTGTATTTTCTCGTGTCCTGGAGCCTTCTTTCTTTTCTTCTGTCTTTGAAAGAGTGTATTGTATTTCTGGGACTATTATTTAATGAGTTGTTGCGTTGTGTTATCATGAGTTTTACTACTTCCTAGTTGAACATCTCGGGAAGGTAGGTGTGTAGAGGGTTGTTTATGTTAATATGGTTATTAACTTTGCTTTTAAAATTCTCACGCGCGGTGTTGGATAGCAAGTTTTGTACCAATGTCCATCAACATTCCCATATACGTTGCCTTACACTTAGTAAATTATTTCCGCCTTCTGTGCCTCAGTTTCCCTCAAGATGTCAGAGTATAAATATATTTGAAATACTGACTATGCAATATATATATTCCATACATTCTAATACATACACCCATTGTGACAGGATTAACCTCGGTACGTCAATACAACAAAAATTTTACTTATATTTAATGCAAACAAAGCTTCAGTTCTAAATTACAGTTCTTTATGTATTGTTTAAAAACAACAAATCATTGATATTTAGTTCAAATCATCAATTTACAAGTAACATTCATTTCTGAGCTTCACAAATATCTAAAATATTTCAATTACTGAAGCATTATCAACACATCTAAAAAATGTACGTTTGGTTAACTAAAAACAAATGCAATCTTTAGCAACAAAGTTCCCTTGGGGGTGGTCGTAAGGGTATTTTCCCTAGTGTAAATGTAGGGGTGCTAAACTGTTCTTTTTCTGTATTCTTGAGAACTGCAAGGGGTGTATATAATATGCTTGTCATTTCATTGTTTTGACCTGTTGCTTTTTGAAATGAACTTGTAGTCATACCAACTTGTCTTGCAGCAGACAGTTGTTCTGTAAAGGAGAATCCAGATGCCTTATTTGACACCTCTGAACCAATCAAAGATGTGTTTTCTGCTGGTTTACTAGAGACTATTAATTGATCTGATGGTTTATCAGATGAAGATAGAACCATAGTGGGTTTTCCAAATAATGATAATGACTCAGAAGTCCTTTTAGAAAATGAAGAAGACTGCTCAGGTGATCCAAGTAATGCTAATTGAAAAGCTGATTGCTCAAGGTTTGCTTGACTATTTAATGATGACGATGGCTGTGCAGACTTTCCAAATGATGACAACTGCAATGATTTTCCAAATATACTTTCTTCAGCAGTATGAGCTTGTGGGGTTCCATGAAATGACGGGGTTATGTTAAAACCAAACTGAGAAATTTCACCTAGAATGGAATAATAAATGGTTATAAATTTTGTAAAAATGCATGGTTTAGAAATATAAAATTATGGATAATTCCTCTCAATATCTCTTAACAGTAAATAAAATTAAATATAATTTGATTTTTTATACTTTCTAAATAACTCAAAATTTCTATTTCAAATTATTGAAAGTTTCTAAGCTGGAATAAAACTAAAGTTAAATATTATTTCACATTTTAACAGCCCACTATGTCAAATACATATAGCCAGAAAGAAATCAAACTGTGTTCTGTTCAAGTTTATCAACTATAGCAACACAAAAGTACACATTTTGTATATCTAAAAGTAACTTTAAAATCGCTCAGTTATGTATTATACACAATATACACAACATACCAAAGTGAAATAATGACATGCACATAGCAAAGATATGGTTATTACAATAATTGGACAACACCCATTTTTGTTAGAGTGATGGTTCATTTGTCGTATTTTAAGTATGGTAGTATGTAATAGTAGGGATTGACAAGGATTCCAAATAATTCATGTGCTGAAAAACCACCCTTCGAACTCCTAAGTGAAAAACCAACCATTCAAAGTACTGGTTATGATATATTATGCGCATATATACTAATAATATGCTAACAAGGTCACTAACGTTTTCGGTACAACAATTCAAAAATTTCTAAAACAGCAAATATTTCATCTACTACTTACCTACCTGATCAAGTCAGCAGGGCTAATACTTAGTCAGCTCAAACTATTGCTACAAGATTTCTGCAGCTTATGTTACTGGTCTGTGGGGATCTGATTTTGATATTCCAATAAAATTCCATATAGATAGATATATAGGTATAATATAAATGGTAAACATATCATGCCCCTCCTTAAGTATCTTTTCACACTCATCTGTAGGCAAAAGCAAAGATTAAATTTTTAAAATTTGTGATTGTGGTTTTAGTTTTTGTAAACGTTATAGCTATTAGAGACATGGGTATACTGAAAGTTTATAGATGTTGTGTCCATTTCACGGACATATAAAAACTGAACAAATACATAGGAAAAAAATTAAAACTTTAAATGAAAGTAGGGATCGTAAAGTATCACTTTACTTGTTTGTGTACATTTTATTGCGGCATTTATTTTCTTTTGGATACTTCTTATAGCAATTTTACGAATAACCAACAATCCCTATTCTCCTTTAAAATTTTAATTTTTCTTGCACATTATTTATTTTCTTTTGGATACTTCTTATAGCAATTTTACGAATAACCAACAATCCCTATTCTCCTTTAAAATCTTAATTTTTCTTCCTATTTATAATCATAAAGAAACCAATAAAGCTTTCAACAGATGGATCTGGCTTCCTTTAATCCTTAAGAAGACAGGTTTACCTGTCAAAAGAGAACCTAGTATTTCATAAAGATCTTTTGATTTACCAAATTTTCTTCATTATATATTTTTGTTTTTAGCCATGGCATAGTGGCTCATAGAATGACTCTGAGTTTTTCAAGTACAAACCTTTAGCTCATAGCTCTGTCATCTCTTGACTAATTTGAAATCTAATTACAGTTTTGAAATCGGGAGGTATCACGCCCAAGGTCACATAGATTAATTTATTCTAGTCCTGCCTAAAAGAATTTCAATTTGAGGGTAGGCTGGTAGAGATGCTGATGAGCAACGTTCCATCTAATTTTTTCAATCCATGTGTAGAATGAATTTTTTCATGTGCACTAGTATCAAGGCAATGTGTGGATGTGCAATACCAATTTTTTTTAGGGGAATGGTATTTTTAGACCATCGACCCTATTGGATCATTAGGCTGCTTTGCAATACTACCAGTTCGTTATTTGGGCTTTAGGCCTATTGACTGCCAGGGTCATTAAGGCCATCAATGTGTTGAGACTCCTCACCATTACTGAGGATGTGTACTGCTGGAATAATTAAGTGCACAGCCCTTGACTGGTTGTTTTGCAGCCACACAGCTTAGAGGGAACACTGCTGGTGAGCAATAAAATCAAACTGGGTAGATATGTGTCCCATGTTTGGTATTTTGGCATGCAAAAATAGAGCTAATAAAAAGGAAAAAAAGGTCTCATAGATTAATTTCCTCTAATCCTGCCTATAAGAATTTCATGTGCTGCAGCTATGGAGGAGTCTCTTTTGTTTATTTTCATAACATATTTATTGTAATGGGCATAGAAGTGTACAATTTTATTTTTTTATCAGGTAAACTAAATTACTACCTTTTTTGACAGACTCTCTAGTGTATTTAGTCTTCTTATTTAAATTATACAATTCAAGCAATTTCTATTTAAAATACTTAAAAATTGAAGTTATTGGATTTAAGAACTTTCAGCAAATTTTATTAATTGATTTTTTTTAAGGGTTGGGAGAACTTCTAAAATCAGTTAAAGGACCCCAAAATGTAGCAGCTCTGTGAACTGTACAATCAACAGACTCCAAAAATTCAATGCTGAGCCCTAACATATGCTAATAACTTTTATCATATTTCAACATTTTCCTTTGTAAAAATTGTAAATTATGAATGCAGAAAAAATTTAACTCAAACTTTTTTGATTAGACTTAAAGTTTGCTGATGGTTTTCATACTAAAAAGGTGACTCAAATTTGAGATATATTTATTAAATCACAAGCTAGAATCAGGTTCAAAAATGATGTGGTAAAGAGTTTCAGAAGTATTTCCAGTGGTCCTTTAAAGCATTCTTAGCACATAAAAATTTGTTTTTTCTACAGAAAAACCCATAATTTGTTTGCACTTTATATATAAGCATATTGAACTATCTGAAAAATAACAACTGATAAAGTAATATATTCAACCAGTATGCACTGATAACTAAGCCTATTGTTGTATTGAGCCGAAAGTTTATGACAGAGAAAGCCTGTAGAATGTAAATGCTTAATTACTTGTAAGCTTATTATGAAGTAATCCTACAAACTAAATAATGACTACAAATTTTAAATAAAACTAACAATACTGGCTCAAAACTAATAATGGCTGGAGATGGCTTGAATGGGTAATGAAGAAAAACTTTAATATAACAGCAAATGTACAACGTTTCGACAAGGTTTTGTCATCATCAGCCATTATTAGTCATTATTAGTGGGTTCCTCGTCATCAAATTTGGCTCAAAACTACTTCAAGTTTTAAAATTTTGTCAAAATATGACTTCATGTTATAATTGAGAAAGTTAACATTTTCCTTACCTGAAAATGTATTTCTGATAGATACTCACCTTTGTGCACAGGTTAGCTATTTTCCTACTTGAAATAATGATCTCCTGCCTAAGGGAATCACACACCATAAGCCTTGTGAAACTTCCACATAAAATTCATGTGAAAACACCTGAAATTGCTTTACTACATCATGCAACAAAACCTTCCACCAAGAGGAGAGTAACACCAATCCCTGTGAAAATGCTCTCATTAGATTCACATGCAAAAATCCTGTGCCCTGGGAAAGTGGGGAGGAAGGATGGGAATATGCATGGAGGCAAGTAGCTATCAAAAGGTGAAGAAAATGTTAAGTTTTGATATGATGACTCACCTCTGTGTATAGATTTGTTAGAATCCCACATTGAGATGTTGGAGGGATCAGTGTATAAATTACCTAGATGAGCCTCCCTTCAAGAGTGCTAATAGGGGTGCGATATTCTATGGCAGGGGCTTAATAAGGACACATCTGTGGGAGACCACATCTCATCTGAATTAGGGTATACTCTTCACCTGAGTGAAGGATACGGTGAGGCAAAAAGCCTAAAAGGTATTGCAAGGTCAGATGGAATAAGTACATGACCATCCGAGATCTTGCACACAAGCTATCAAAAGGCCAATATGTGTATTAAGATTTGGGCACGTTTAGACCGTACCAACTGTGCTCACCTCCTTGGCCATCAGTCTCTACATGTCAATACAAGCTGTGGGAGAAGGGCACATATAAAAGGTATCCATGCACAGCTCCTCAACTATCAAATACTAAGGGCTCACACCAGTTGCAAGAAAAAGGCACTGCAGTGGGCACAACTTAAGAATACTTATGAAACAATCATTCAACCATTAGACACTACAGGGTGGATGGTCTGAGTGCTTCATGTTAACCTGGCCTGATGCACAATTTTGGGTAAGTATACCCTGTAAGGCAACACTAGAAGCCTAGTAGGATCCAAAGGTAGAAGAATGGTGAAGAAGGAAAAACTAAATGAATACTCACACTCATTGTAGATGAGACAACCAAATGCCAGTGTGGAGAAAAGGGGGAAATAACGAAGAGAGGAGGCTTGAGAGAGAGCATACAAACATCCATCTCACATATGTGCTGGCAGATCCAATCCGTAATGGGGTAAGGAGAGAGGCCCCAGGTAGAGGAGGTGTCCCAGTTACTAAGGGCACAAGAAAGAAGTGTATGACAAAACACCAAGTGGCCAAAACAGAAATAACACTGAAAGGAGAAATTGAAGGAGAGGATGTGGGAGAAAAGGAGTGATTACTTTCCCCTACCATGGAATGCAAGGTAAACTGGCTAGGTCAAAGGAGAAGGGAAGAGCAGTAATGAAAAAGCGAGAGGAAACAAGGGCACAGATATCAATACAACAATTATCAACAGCAAGTAGGAATAGGACACATGTCTAGGGAGTACAGAAACACCTGCTAGAGATTTGAATGGGACATGGGTAAGAGCATGGAGAACCACAATGATGTAGGAAAGAAGTAGGAAGAGGGCAGTGGATAATAAAGGAATGAAAAATGGTAGAAAAGAGGCAGAGAAGAAAGAAAACTGTAACATCAGGAAGGACAGAAGCTGGAGTAAATACCACCCTAAACCAAAGATAGAAAAGACTTATAGATTACATGAGAACAGTCCAATGAAATGGGAGAAATGTATGATAAAGTAATGAAGTCAAAGGAAAACAGGGATAATGAGACCAAAGTAATAAGTACATCCTGTACATTGACACACAGAAGAGGTAAAGGGATGATGGGAGTGGGACAAAGGGATGGTTACA